TTAAGGAGTCTGGAACGAACGGAACACTAGCATTGGTGGATCTTCTTGGATTCGTATGACAGAATGAGATGATCTCGAATTACTGAAACAAAAGTATTGTGGTCTCAGTATTCAAGAGAAGCTGTTGCTCGGATTTAAATAACTATCGTGGAATCAGCCTACTATTTGTTCCCGCTGAAATGTTCAAACGTGTTATGGTGAACAGGATCAGGCAACATATTCAGATAATATTGGGTGAAGAGCAGTCCGAATTCAGGACAGACAGAGGATGTCTAGAACGGATGTTCACAATGATGGTAAAGAAACTAGAACTGGGATTCAAATTCTTAGCAATATTCATCGACTTCATAAAAGCGTCTGACTCAACATGGAAATATGTCTTATGGAAAGTGGGTGAGCAACACTGAATCCAATCAAAGAATATTCGCATAAGGATGCATGATCTTCCGTCAAGAGCAGTGCGAACTGATGACAGGTTCAGCAAATTCTTTCGTAGAAAGTTTGGAGTTAAGCAAGGAAGAATGGAATCTCCACTGCTCTTTGCAACATTTCTTTACTGGGGGCTCCTGCCAATATGAAAGAATGAAGCGACGGTGGCAAGAGTTGGCAAAAAGTAAACTTTTTCGTATTTGCAGATGATATCGTACTGCTTGCCAACAACTCTGAGGCTGCGACATCGCTGTTCCTAACTTTGAAACAGAAGTGCTCTGATCCGGATCTGTGGATTAATTTAAAGACGCTGAAGAGGATGGAAATTGGTAGAATTCAGACAAGAGAGTGCCTGATTCACGACACCAAAGTTGTGGAAAAGACGCCAGATCATTAGGAGTACATTAGCTGCTGATGGAGAAGTCAAGAGGCACTTTGCGTTGGCATCAGCAGCCAGCACGAACAACAAAAACTTAAACTCTTTGAAGACAAAGATAATGACAATAGTACCAAGCTGTGGATACACAAGGTTAGCATTCTCAACATCTTGCACTACTGCCTGAAGATGTAAGAACTAAACAAAGCTGAAAGAGAAAACTGGAAAAGACGGAAATGAGTTTTCTGATACATATTAAAAGTGAAATGATATGATTGGTGTCAAATGCTGTTGTAAGAGAGAGATTAAAATATGAAACTATGGCGACCGACTGGTCACAAACAAGACGCTCATGATGGTAGGACTGCTGCTAACGAATGGACGATAGCAGCCTTGCAAACCGAGTTCTCAATGCAAAGTCTGATGGCAGGCTGCCGTCAAGAAGACCTCCAACAAGATGGTAAATTCTCGTTACGACTGACATGAAATCTAAAGGAATGAAGAATGAGCACGAATTTATTCGATTCAGATGGAATGCTTTAGAGGTATCCGGGATCGTCTTTGAAACGATGGGAAATGCAGAAGATGCTGACCATTCCAGTATGTGACTAATCGACATAGTGACAAAACGAAGTCATTAGAAATAGAGTTTTTGCCAACTGCAGTCAACCGAAGTAGAACTTGAAATAGCTAGGTTATTTATTTCGACACTTGTCAAGCATAGAAGCCAAGTAATTGCCGTTGAAAAAGGAAACAATAAAGCTATGATAATCAAGTCAAGTGCTAGCTAGGCTCATGTAAACAAACGCATAATTTTCTCCAACACTTGAAGAAGAATGATGTCTATTTGTCAAAAGAATGTTTGGTCAAATAGCGACAATTTTCGCCTTTTTGGCTGCTTATAACGACGGAGTCAGAAGAAAAGACAGCTAACAATTGTTCTCACCCTAATTATTATACTGGTTGTATTGTTGCTCATGCACATTACAGGAACTGTTTTGCCTGAATACAAGAGTGGTTCTGTATCTTTTACAAAGCAGTGCATGATTAATGTTAACATTAGCATAATACTGTTACTACAAATTTCAACTTCAACGAGAACGGAGTACTGATGTGAGAACATTTAATAGAATTAAAAAATATGAAATTTAAATGAGCCTTGGAATACAGCCTTTGCTTCTCCAGATTGAGAAGTCACAGCTGCGATGGCTTGGGCATGTGT